ATTAAATACCGCGTTCGTAGTAGAACGAGCACTTCTAAATCCATATGTGAGTTGCTAAAGTAATTATTTGACTCAAAATAGGAATAAAATTGTTGTTTGATAACTTTTCAATCACTTTCCCAAAAGTAGAAAACAATGCTTATGGGTCTGTAATTGTCAGTTTTTGAGGAATCACCTTTTTTGTAGATTGGTAGTACTTTGGAGAAGAAGACACAATGATAAACTCCAGACAGTATATGGGATGACAACATAGTACGCTACATTAAAGCAAACCGAATAAGATGGTCGGGCCACGTGCTAAGATCGAGTGACGAAAGACTCCTGAACGCCACATTCTGGGAAAGGCCTGATGGCAGGTCAGTTGGTCGCCCAAGAAAGAGATGGAAGGGTGCAGTAGCCAGTGATCTACGGAAAATGGGAATACAGCAATGGGAAATAGCTGCTCAGGACCGACAACAATGGAGGCAAATAGTAAACGCGGCCAAAACTCACATAGAGTAGTAGAGTCAAATGATGATGATGATGATGATGAAATATCATAAACTACAAATTCACAAATTGCAAAGTCCATTTCTTGTCATTTCGAATTACAAATTAAAGCAGTTTTCTCGTGCTTTTCGTTAATTACAATTAATATATGAGGTGTACCATATCGAAAGTGACAATCTCAAACTTAAGTCAATTTGTAAAAACGATTTAGACATAAAAATAGGAAATATTGATATATTTATTTCTACTAGTTCTACAACGTTGGTACATTTTTAAATAAAATATAGAGAATAAATAGCTTGAACTCTCAGTATCGAATAAGAAGGAAATTGACATTAATATATCGGATATTATATACATATACCGGTATTTAGGCGGTACGCTCTTCCGGTAGGGATCTATGGAGGTGTATCACCGAGCCGCAAACCCTTATCTCTTGCCGTACTGCTCCACCATAGGCCGATCAGACACCAACATATTCTAGTCTAAACCGTATATTCATCTACCGAGCTGGGGATCGAACCCACATCCACTGAACCATTTGCAGTGAAGCGAATGAGAACCGGCCGCCCAGCCCGCTTGGCTATCTGACCGACATATAATGGATATTGCCAATCAATATTATAAAAACAATTGAAAACATCTACTTTCATAATCGAATACAGGCAAAGATAAATGGAAACTAACACTGTGTATACCAGTACACCACATAGCGGTACCAGTGGCATTTTTTCCATCAAAAGAGGCATAAAATCTCCTGTTTTTAATCAATGATTTTCGCTCGTGAATTTTTTATCTCTTGGCCTTTTCTGACCTGTGAGATGTAGGACTTGGCTTGAATAGTTCTTTCCCGCCTGTTTGAGAATCAGAAGAGGGTCATAAAATTATTTTTTTGAAATTCTGAAAAAAAAAATTTTGACAAGAAGAAAAAATAAATATTGGCTATTAAATTTTGACTCTAATAATCTTTATTCGTTCTTCTAAAAGAGTATATAATTATATTGTTATACCCATTTAACAATTATTTGTAGACGTGTTGTACACAATTTAAAACTTTTTAACCATTTAAAATGACCATTTTAACAACGGGACTTTCTAGATACAAAAACCAATTTAATTTGGTTCTTATAAAAGTTTACTCATGACAATTTAAAAAATCATTACGATATCCAAACATTCTGATATATACATAGTTAACAATTGAAGATGCTTATTCATAGATTAAAATAAAAAAGTTTATTACTTAATTCAGAATGATTAACATAATGAAATATAAGATGAAAACAACATACAACACTAACAACTTTTTAGTTTTGACTAAACATACTAACAACAGTTAGAGTTCTTATACAAAAAAAAATAGAATAAATAATTTTGTCGATAAAGAAGAAAAAAACTCCTGTATTGGACAACTATCTTATATATAGATATTTCTTTTAGTGTACAAATTGTGTAAGAGCATGACAAGCTTTAAATTAAATTTAAAGGAATTTTTGACTGAACCCATTTTCTATTCAATTGGAGAATTTCTTCAATTTGAAGTGTTATTCATTTTGTTGTTAGTTTGTTTAGTGTGTTTTTTACGTGTTTGTTTCATTTAATTAACTGACCAATGCTACACAAACTATGTTTCTAAAAGAAAATAAAGTATTTATTTATTTATATATATTTGCTACTTTCAAACAGCTGAGATTCACAGGAGGATAAACTAAGAAAACAAATATTAACTAACTAACGTCAATCCTCAAAATGTTTTACTCTGCATCCATAGAAATTATTTTTTAACACTAAAACTGCCAGGTTTTCTTTTTAATTACTCTATTTGTGTTTGTTTTTTGGTTATTTTTGTAAACATTGCTGTGTCCTCATATGGTGCACGCGGCCTGCGATTGTGAAATTCTTACTAATGTGAAAGAGAGTGCTAAAGAGAGTGCCACGCATAAGATGCTTCAGTTCCTTATTTACTTCCGGTGGGAGCGTATCGTCGACTTCACGATTGAAAAAATTAATATGGCGCACAATAACAAACAACTCCGTTATTTGGAGTTGGAATTAGAAGCAGAAAAGTCTGCCGGTGAGTTGCAGGAGTTTAGAAAATTGAACATGAGTGCTGATTTTTCTGATTATTCGGATTCGGATTTAAATTCTATATATAATAGTGATAAATAAATTTGACAATGAACCTGCAGAGAAAAAAAAAATTAAATTTTGAAAAATGATTTGTTCACTAAAATCTTAAATAAAATTTTAGTTTGTTTATTCCGATTTTTTTTACTATTATATCAACTTTATATTCCTCTCAAAATTTCGCTTCAGAAGACGATACTTATCACTGTTTACTTGTTTAATACTGTTTTCTTTTTATGTACTAATAATGTTAACCGTATAGAACAAATCATAGAGAAAAACCGAAGTCTCAAATACACCAAACCGAAACGAAAAAAAAAACATAATAAGCATTAAAAATAAACAAGGACAATTAGAAAAAAGTAAATCTCATATTGCAAACTCATTTTAAAAATGTCTACGCCGATCTGTACCGTTCCAGAAACGATCCCTCTAACTCCTCAAAGCAGAACTTGAAAAGGCAGATAACAAATGTCAACTCAGAAGTGATGCCCGAAATAAGTCACGAAGAAATAGAAAGAAAAGTAAAAGAAATAAAAAGGAATAAAGCTTCTAAAGGAGGCGATGGAATCGTAGCAAAAATGCCAAAGGAAGGCGGAGAAGAAGCCATCACAAACCTAATAATACTATTTAATAAATGTCTATTCGAAGGAACAATGGAATACTGCTAAAACAATACTAATACACAAAAAGGGAAACACCACAGACCTGAACGACCAATCGACCAATTTCACCTTTTTCACAACTTTACAAAACCTTTACAAAGATTATTATAAACAGATTAACCATTAAATTTGACAGATATCAACCAGTTGAACAAGCCGGATTTAAAAAAGAGCACAGCACTTGTGACCATCTCTATCCTTTGAAAATCCTAATGGAAATGACTAACGAATACAATCTCCCATTATGTCTGGCTTTTATAGATTATGAAAAAGCTTTTGCTAGCGTGGAACTGTGGGCAATAGAAGAAGCATTAGTCAACAACCGGATCGACTTCAGGTACCGAATATTAATACATAATATTTACGAACACGCTGAAATGATAGTGACGTTGGGTAATGGAATCGAAACAAGACCAGTAAAAATCAACCAAGGCGTAAAACAATGAGAGACAATATCTCCAAAATGGTTTACAGCTGCCATAGAAGATATATTTAAGTCAATAGACTGGGAAACTAAGAAAATCCATATTAACGGAAGATACTTGAACCATCTTACGATAAAGAAAACGATGATTGAGGAGCTACACACAGAATCGCTAAAAAAAGACTGAAAATGAATTTTAGTCAAACTAAACTAATGTCGAACAAGGATGACAAACCTATGATAAACATCGAAGGGACAGAGATAGAACACGAGATGAATATACATATCTGGACCAAATGTCAAGGTAAGCAAAGAAAATCAGACTACCGAAATATAAGCAGACTTGTAAAAACGGGATAAGCAGCATTTGGAAGACTCTCATACGTACTTTAAAATAAAAATATACCTCAGACTGCGAAGCAAAGTGTTTAATTCCTGTATCCTACCTGTACGTACCTACCTGTACATATGAAGCTCAAACCTGGACATTCACTAAAATAAACATGGAGAAGGTTAGAAAAACTCAGAGTGCTATGGAACGATAGATGCTGGATATCTCACTCAAAGAACAAAAAACCAATGAAGATATTTTAATACAACAAAAGTAAATAATGTTGTCGAACAGGCAGCTAACCTGAAATGGAAATAGGCTGGACATATCGAACATCTTAAGGATGCCGATGGAATAAAGAGATCGGGAATTGTCGGCCATATAAAGCCAAAAGACCATGAGGAAGACCGCAAATGCGCTGGAGCGACGATATTAAAAGAACTGCAGGGCCAATGTGGAAACGTCTTACAAACGACAGGGATAAATGACAAGAATTAGGAGTGGCCTATATTTGACAATCACAATAGAGAGAAGGGCTTAAAAAAACTATCATAAAAATAAAAAAAGTTAATCTATATTTAATTTTCATTTTATTATCCCTTATATCTTTAAAAATTAAAAAAAAATCCAGGATATTTTTAAATGTCTTAATTTTACTCCAGACTTAATGATATTCCTATTTAAATTCAAGGTAAATGTGTATCAGCCACGGACACATGACTGAAACAAACCTGTGTCAATTATATGTACACAGGACAGAGAACTAAAATTGCCTGTGTCCATATATGGTACACATTGCAGTTAAAGTGTTAACCATACAATCCTAAATACTAGTTCTGTTTGTTCTATTTACTCTTGCAATAACAAGTCCCTCAGTGTTAATACCGCAATATATAAAAAACAAACAACATATAAAAATGAAAAAATACAAACAAAATATAGCCATGATGGCTAGTTGATGACGTCAGTCTGAGGACTGATCGCTTATAGTCACCGTTGAATTTTTATCATAATTTCTGTCTTTATGTCTGTTTCTTTGATGGTAATTTCTCTCCCGAGGTCGTTCTTCTTCCAGGTAAGTGCCGTCACTTTCTTCTGAAAACACGTCTTCGAGTTTTCTTCTGCCGCGTGTCTCTTTGTCTGAACGTTTCAGTTTTTGCTTTAGCATCCTTCGTGTTTCTGCATCCATATTGTCGAAAGATTTCTGCTGAGGCTGGTGGTGATTTTTGGCGCTAACTGTCGAACTGGCTGTAGAATAACCTGTGTCTTTGCGTGTATTAGACTTCCTGCAATAAAATGGATATTAGATTAGCACAACATAGTGGCATGTTTTTCTACTATTCATATTAATGGCATATAGTGGGTATGTAGGGCATACTATTCATATATTTATAACTTTATTTCGACTTTTATAGGATTAACATACATACTCATTTGTAAAGAGAGGATAAAATTCAAAGACATTCTTTAAAAAAATGCACATTTTAACCCTTGTGCAATTTCAGTTACATTGAGTTTAATGTGGACTCCCATGGACTCCTTTTAAAGAATAAAAAAAAAGAATTAGGTAAAAAGTTTTTTTTTCAAACGTCAAATAATGATGACATTACTTATTTAACTTGATCCTGTCAAAGTTTGATGTCTCCGCCGGCAACAGTTTTTTTTTCATTTCATTACGGCGGAGGGAAAAATGTTGTCATGGCAACACTATGAAACATGTCACAAAGCAACAATACAAATGTCATTAACAACAATTAAACATCATTTTTATTTATAGTAATATTAAAAGTACAATTAGTTAATGAGGCATTTTCAAAATTGAAACCGTGCAAAAATGTTCCCGACTCTTGATACGCATTGGTAATTGTTGATGATACTGATGGTTAAAAACAACTTTCAGAACTCATTCCCGATATTGGCGAATCATGAGGGTTTAAAAATTTTTGAGCATTATCGTTCTTATTTCTTATTGAATCCTCTATATATCCTTCGGCAACCGTGCTTGATTTCCAGCCCCCATGTCGTTTGAGGCATTCTAGATTTCCGCCTCCATCAATTAAAAGTGTTGCTGAAGTTCGTCGTAAAGAGTGACCCGTGTATGCGCTTGCATCGTTTAAATTTAAATAACTAGCTACTTTTTGGGTTACTGCGCTGATAGAATGTATTCCCATGCCGCTTCGGTAACACTTTCCATTTTGGTACTTGATAAAAAATCGGTTTTCTGTGAAATTTTCAGGCCGCAGTGATGCATACTTTTTATACAGTTTTTATGTAGTTTTGACAATTATCGTAAAATATCGAATTTGTCGTGTTTTACTGTCTGGGATTTTGATATTTATTACATTTTCTTTATCCTCAATGTCCACAGTCTTCATTTTTACCATTTCGTCACATCGACAGGCGCCGGTAACCCCAATTAATAAAACAATCTGACATAGTTTTATAATTTAGTAGAGTATACTACATGCTTTGAAATATATTTTTTTTTACCTTTAATCCTAAATACAACTTATCTGGCGCTTCAAACAAAAATTTATCAAACTCGTCTTTAGTGGAAAACTTTAGACTTCTTTGCAGTATATCCTTCGCTTGTTTTTCAGAAAGGCACGTAACTTTAAAAATTTGCTTACATCCACATTTTTTCTAATAACTAACTCGGATTTTATCATAGAGTATCGTGACCACATTGTAGAAGATTTCCATTTATTTTTATTTATCATTATGTTAAAATATGCCAGTAAAACGTCTACGGTAACTTGCCGTACTCCTCTTGTATCGCACCACTCTTGGAAGTGCTTGTACGCTAATCGATACTTTATTCCGGACTTGGAGGGCCCCAAACGTGCTACTGCATCATTAGCCGCGGACTCAATTTCGTTTAGGTTTTCCATTTTCGCACTAAATTTGCGCTTGCGGTTGCAACAACAATAAGCTCTCTTTAATAATTGCAAACAACTATCAAACAACTGTAACCAGGGAGACGCAAATCCCACCGACGACTTAATTATTTTAATTTCTAACATCTAGACGACTTTGATAGTTGTCACAGTTAATTTCGAGTAAAAATAGCGTATGAATTGTACTATTTATGGTTGAAAATTGCTACGTTTGAAGAAAAATAGTATACTTTATTAGGGCAAAGAAGCGACTTTTCTTGACTTGCCCTCTATTACGCGCCGAACGAATATCGGGTTATAAGTTATTAACCCTTTCTTTACCAGCGACGTATATATACGGTTTGGGGAAAAGTGACGTATATATACGTTCTCGAGTGAAAACGTTGATAATATCATGCCGTTTGTATACGGCATCAAATTTTTTTTTTGCATCTCTGCCAGCCCCATTGCCGCATCTATCCGGCATTGTTACAGAGCCATCAGCCCCAATCCCGTATTGGTACGTTCGAACATGCATTGTGATGAACCCGCTGCCGTATTGATACGGCAGCTTCTGATACACAGCGTTTTGGTAATTACCGGGTATGGTCGGGTTTTTGGTCTATTTTTAGCATGTCTTATCTTGTACCGCAAATATCACGTTGCCACGGACTACTCAGTATTCTGCTGTTACTGTTGCAGTGCAAATATACATATTGTGAAATTTCACGAAAATGTCTGATTCAAGAAAAAGAAGGCGCTCATGCGATACAGGTGGTTTGTGTGGACTAACGCAAAAAGAATATGATGATATACTGGCAAGCTATTATTCCCATGAAGAAGAAAGAAATTTATGTATATTTGGAAAAATATAGAAATAATGATAAAATCGTTGACAAAACAAAGACATTGTTAAACTTGGAATTTGTTACATTTGCGGTAAACACAAAAATAATCGCACGAAAGCAATTTGTCAGCAGTGTAAAAATAACGTATGTAAGAAACATAGCCATATCTCTGTTAAATATATCCATTGTGATAATAATAAATAAATGGAAAATATCAATGGGTATGTTTTATTTGTAATCATAGGTAACTTGTTTGTAATGGTAATAAATTCAATTTAGAAACTAAAAGCGTATTTTTAAATTCTGATGAAAACAATGAAATGTCTACCGGATTACTGATACTCAAGTTGACGGCATTGGCAGTATTGCCATTGAAATTAAACATAATATTATACTTAAATATTTTTATCGATGTATCAAGTATTAAAAAAATACTTTTAATGCAATTTACGAAATACCAATAACGTAATTCTTTGCTCTAGAACAAAATATCTCAGAAGGTTTTTTTTTTATTTTGTGAAAAATCTTGGCGTGATGGGCTCAGACCAAATTGACAATACCCCAATTAGATAAAAATGCTTATCAATTCAAAACAACAAAAAACATGTTGGTCTGTGTTATTTATATGAAGTATTTGTTTAAAAAATAGAATACCTTCCCCCTCGACTGTTTTCAAGTCTGCTCGCATCACTATCACTAGAATCTTCTGTGTCCCTACTTTTTCTGCTGCTGGTGCTTCGTACACTTTTATTCGTTACTGTACTCCTCGGACTTCCAGGCTGAGATCTCGGTCTTCGTCTTCGTCTTGGTTCAAATGTAAGAGCACTTTTTGGCAGATTGGAGATTATGGAAATGGTGGAAGCTCTTTCGACGTCATCGGACTTTAAACATATATAACAATTAAAAAAGGAGGTTATACAGAGGTAAATGATTTCTTAGTAGTATAAATCGACACTTCCATCGAAAAAGGTTGTAACTCAAGTTAGATCTATTTTCAGATTTCAACACTGGCGAATTCAGTAATAAAATTCCCGTAAATTATGACGTTCTTTATAAAAATAATTATTGCGTTAATTTAGAACAAATGCCTGAAACTCAACGTTCTTCAGCTAGGAAGTACTATGAACAAAAGATACGATTCAGCGTATCATCATAACAGATATACCTCCCGTTTATTCTAATTCTATCGCCATATTGATAGAAAAATATAAAGATTTAAACGACTTGTAATTTCACCTTCAGACATTATTCCCGTCACAAAAATCAAGATAGAAAGGGAACAAACCAGGAAAAAACCACTTTTAGAAGAACCAGAAGAAAAGAAAGAAGCAGAAAAAGAAAAGGAGAGGAAAGCATTACTGAATAACCAAAAGATCAATTCTCAAAGTACTAAAGTTCGTGCTGCCAAAAGAAAAGTTTTCGACGAATCATCGTCTGAAGAATCAGTGGCACTTTCCTATCAAAAAAGTATTGATTATTGTGACATTCATTTTTTAATAATAGTAAAGAGCAAGACATTGATGTTATACCAAATATTTTACCTGATGGCTTTGTCGTAGTGAAGGTTTTTGGAAAAAAATCATACAGATTATTTGTCCCCAAAATTTTGCCAAGTAAACGATGATGATTATGAAGGCGCATTTTTAAGTGACTATCCACAACATTTTATTTTCGTGAGACAGCGAAAGATGAATTTTTTTGAAAGGACGATATTGTTTTAAAGCTTTTACAGAGAATAAAAACCAGCTCTTTCAGATTTTCTAATTCAGTAGGATTCTCTGACGACCTTCTCTTTTAGATTAACGTTTTGTATTTTTCCTTTGGTTTTTTCAATAGAGGTTTGTTTCTTTTAAGCGCCTACCATCTCTTTTTTTTTGGGTTCTATACGTTTAGTTTTGGGGCAAAAATACGCATTTTCTGCTCCATTTGTAGGGACAAGAGTACGCAAATGAAGATTTTTTAAAACTTTTTTTTTTATTTATTAGTGAACTTATAGAACTACTGTCCATATTTAAAATGGAAAAACAATATGTAAGCTCTCCCTTAAAAACATTGGATGCTAGGACTAAACTGTTACCTATAATTTCTTAAGACGACAGAAGATAACGAAAACTGGGTGTTTTTGCCTCCAACTACCGTATTTTTGTATTTATTTGTGACTTGAAAAAGTACATTTTGTAGTATTATCATCAATAAACTATTTATCTGTCCATTTATCTTAAATAATTATGGTCCACTGCGAGAACGAAAGTATTATGAACAGGTAGGGAGAATATTTCGAAGAACTCCTGACTCAAGAAGACTCTAATAATGAAATAGACAACACTGAAGAAAACCCACATGAGAACCCAAATCAAAACGAAATGACAATAGAGGAAATAAGAGATATAATACTCAGGCTCAAAAGAAGAAAGGCAGCTGGCTATGATAACATAACTGCGGAAATGCTAAAAAATATGGGAGAAAATGGAAATAAAATGCTTAGAAAATTTTGCAATAAAGCATGGGATAAGAGCAAGATCCCAATATACTAGGAAGTGGGCGTTATTCTACCCATTTTTAAAAAAGATGACAGACGAGACTGCAGCAACTACAGAGTATAACCCTCCTGAGTATCCCTTTCAAAGTTTATGAACGAGTACGGGAGAAAAGACTACTACAAGAAGTAGACCATAAGCTGGAACAGTCACAGAGTGGTTTTAGAAAGAGAAGAAGCATCCATGACCATATTTTTACACTCAAGCAGCTAATACAAAATGCACGAAATACAAGCACGGAACTATACAAAGCCTTCATATACCTCGAAAAAGCATTTAATAGAACCCCGCGAACCGAAATTGACAAAAGCCTAAGGAACAGAGTTGTGGACAGAAAACTCAGAAAAGCTATTATGAGGCTATAAAAAAACAGAAGAAACAGAGTAAGAACAGATAATATGGAATCAGACGGGTTTAGAGTCAATGATGGCTTACGACAAGGAGGTGTACTAGACCCTATCCTGTTCAATATTGTACGAAATGATGTAATGAAGGAAACTAGAGAAGAAACATCGAGAATATTTGTTGGACAAACCAGGAACCTGGAAATGATACAGATAACGGAGTGCGCATTTGCAGATAACCTTGTCGTATTTGGAAGAAACGAGGACGCACTTAATAGAAACCTCCAAATATGGAGAGATAAACTTGAAAAACGTATTCTGAGGATTAATGAAAGTAAAACCAAGGTCATGGTATGTGGAAAAACAGACCAACATACAAACATTAAAATCAATAACGATACTTTAGAATAAGTCGAAACTTTCAAATACCTGTGAGTGCAACTAGAGAGTAGGGGTACACAAGAAACAGAGATAAACAATCGAATAGCAAACGCTTCTTGGATATACCACGCAATTAAGAGCACATTCCTATCGAGTATCCCAAAAAGCCAAGATAGCTATCTACAACACAGTTTTTGTACCTAACTTAACATGTGGATGTGAAAGCTGGACTCTCACCACCAGACTAAAAATAAACTGCAAAGTATTGCAATGAAGTATCTAAGAAGAGTACTAGGGGTGACAAGAATGGACAGGATACGAAACGAGGAAATAAGAGAATGCCTTAAAGTCCAATTAAGAGAGAAGAAAATCGAAAAAGACCAGCTTGGATGGTACGGCCACATAGGGGGATGGATAAAGAAAGACCAGTGAAACAAGTGTGGGAAGCGAGAAGAATCTTGATTGATTAATTGTAATCCACTACATTAATCCAACTTACCGTGTCTTTGTTGTTTTCTGTATAAACGACGTAAAGTCTGTAAATCTGAAGAAGTATTACTAACGTATTTTTACAAGTAAAGAAAATATTCATATACGTAATGATCTTGTAGTGACAAATTAGAAGCAGCCTAAACACTAAATACGGTGCATCTTGGAGAGTTATGTTAAGAATAATACTGCAAACGTCGATACTGCAACAATTATCTGACCTAAAAAAGAAAAAATATATTTAGAAAGACGTTGACAAATTTTTATAAAATTACATAAATTTTATTTTTAGAACTGTTGTAAAAATCAGACTGGTCCTAATAGAATTAAGATAATATTATAGCATTAAAGTTACTTATCTTTTCCAGTCATTTTTAATCAACGAATTTCTACTTAACGTACTTCAATTAGATTTTATCACAATTAGCTTTTACTTGGTAATTAAACGATTAAAAAAATAATGCGAATTAAAACTAATTATTTATAGCAGTATTTAATACTTTCTGTAAATTATTATTCGTGAAATTGTATGCATACTTCTCAATTGTTGATGTAGTTGTTGCGAGTCTTGACTTTCTAGCTTTGGTGGCAGTTAATACTACAGTAAACTGCATTAAGCTCCAAGACCAAATTGCTAACGTCAACAGTACCAATACTGGCTCAGATGCGATCTTGTCATCTTTGAAAGAATCAAAAAATTCAAGAATGTCCGCAGCGGTACCTAGAACATAAAGGCTATATCAATAATAATTAAAACAAAATTACAAAATTTCTTTTCTGTACCAAGGCAGTGACTAATTTGTTCTGATGTGCGCGAAAAAACTATTTTTTTAAATTACTATTCGACAGAAAGAATCGGATGCAAATTTAACCTCGTAAAAGACCTCAGCCTTAGAGTACACACCCTCTTTACAAAGAAGAATCTCTCAATTTACTGAAGTCCATTCTCAAAGATAACTCCTATCGCCGCACCTATCATCAATAATTTTTTTTGTTCTAAAAGCTATGAGCAATCTATTACCAACCAACTCAACAGGCCAACATTAGCGTCCATCTCCAATAAAATGGAGATGAATAGTTCCCCGTTCACCTCTAAATACACAGCAAAAAAATGGGTTATCAACAGAAAGGATGCGCTAAGGGTTCCATGGGTTGCAAAGAACAACTTATTATCGACTCAGTCATTTCTAACAAGGCATACTCCAAACAAAGGAACCTCTTCACTGCCTTTATTGACTATAAGTAAGCCTTTGACTCAGTGCTACACGAATGATTGGTAGATATATTAATTAAGAATATATAAAGTCGATGATTGTAATCGCGATATCAATATATCACTCCGGATAAGAATTCTTTGATGTTATATTTTCTCTTCCCTTTTCTATGGAGTTGAAGCTTGGACACTTAAAAAATCCAACATTAAAAACCTAGAAGCATTCGAAATGTGGTGTTACCGACGTATTTTGAAAATATCATGGATGGATCGCAAAATAAACGAACAGTTCTCGAACAACTAGGAAAACAATGCGAAGTTTTTAAATTCCATAAAAATCAGGAAATTGGAATATTTGGGGCACATAATGAGAGGTGAAAAGTACGAACTACTAAGAAATATAATGCAGGGTAAAATCAAAGGTAGAAGAAGCGTAGGAAGACGTAAAATCTCGTGACTACGCAATTTCCGTGAATGGTTTGGATGCAGTTCAATATTGAACTATTCAGGCGAGTAACCAATAAAATTATAATTGCCAGGATGATTTCCAATCTCCGATAGGAGTGGAACTAAAGAAGAAGAAAGTCGATGATAATATAGTGACCTTCATTAGACATATAATGACAGATTGGAAGACTAAGTTTCCCCTCCAAATACCTGATGAAAACAATATTGAAACGAAAAATATCGCAATTAACCGCGGCCTATTCCAAGGAGACTCGCTGAGTTCATTGTGGTTCTGTCTAGCCATGTACCCACTATCCCAGCTATTGAACTCCTCTGACTCAAGTTTTAGCATTAAAAACAACAACACTATAGTGGCGAAGCTCAATCATCTGTTGTATGGATGTCATGGATGATTTGAAACTAATAGCTTCCACTCGAAACCACTTAAATCAAATGCTAAAAACTGCAGAAACTTTTTCAAATGATATCAGTATGCACTTTGGGTTAGACAAATGTCGTGTATTAAATGTAGTCAAGGGAAAGGTTCAGTCCGGGGGATTCGATATGCAAAATGGCCAAAACATCGAGGCTATGGGCGAAAATGACATGTATAAATATCTAGGAGTAAAGCAAGAGCAGAAAATTGATCATAAACAAATGAAAATCGAATTAACATCAGGGTTCATACGAAGGGTAAATCAGCTACTCCGTTCACATCTTAATAGTAAAAATTTGCTTAAGGCATTAAACACCTACGAATTTTCCGCTCTTAGCTACTCATTTGGTATTATTAAGTGGACTAAAACAGATATAGAAACTCTTCAGAGAAAAGTACGAACACACCTCACAAAGGCACAAAAACACCATCCTCGAAGTGCTGTAGAAAGAACGACATTACCGAGGTATTTAGGAAAACGAGGACTTATTCATATAAACAAAAAATTAGAACAACAGATTACTAATTTAAGAACTTATTTTTAGGTGCAGGCGGAGACATCTACTATTCATCGCGCGATTTGTGCAGTAGACGACACAACACCGATCAAACTAAGCAAACAAGAAATGCGTATAAACCATCTTACTAAGAACGAAAAAATGCGCATCTGGATGGGTTTACCTCAAAAATTACACGAAATATATCGTCAAAGACTCTCAGGTCCAAAACGACAAATGCTGATATGGATGTCAAGCCCAAAAAACTATCCAACATCTTAGTGGGTGCTGCCAGGCATTTGCTACAACTGAATATAAGGAATGACATGACAAGTACAGAGATCTGGAAATACAAATAAGGAGACAATAGAGAATGGAAAGTACCCAGACTATACCTATTACTCTTTCTACTACTGGAGTCTTTCCGAAGAACCTCCTAGAAAACATAAAAGAGCTGAGTCTAAATAAAAATCTATGTAAGATCATGCAGAAAGCTGTGCTACTTTCGACGTACAGATGTGTGAGAACATTTTTGGGAGATACACCGACGTACCAAATCACCTAGAACTCGATAACATGGAAAGAGTCCCACCAGAGAGAGGTCAATCCTTTTATACCGCAGATATCTGATATATGACTAAATCTGGATAATAATAAATGTCGATTTATATGCTAATTAAATCAATAACAAAATTGCTTTATTCAATTTTAAACATATTATTTACATATTAAAAATACAGAAACAGTACGAACCCTTGCATTTGTCTGCAGTACTGCCTATTGTACAACTTTTTTCCCATATTTTGCGATAAATCTTAATTTTCTAAATATAAAAAATTCTACCGTGATTACGTTGTACGGTTTTGCTTTATTATATTAAACAATTAACCGTCCGTGACATAGAAACCACTAAATTTAAGTACATCCTTTGCTTCGACGAATGTCAATATTTATCTTGGCAATGGCACAACAACGGTGACAAAATTGCAAAGTTATTTCCTAGAAAATTAAATGACCACATACCGATATAGACGAGCAAAAGCTGGCTGAGTTGATCCCTGGTGAGATCACCTTTTGGCAACATCCACCTGCCTATTATAAGAATAAGCATGAGGAATTGTTCGATAAGAGTTATCCATGTTTCTGTGCTTAATGAAATTTCCGGAAGTTTTATTTCGACCTGGAATATAAAAAATGCAATTATAAGCAATTCGATGGGTATAGAACTCAAATACTGCTACGGATTATTAGGGGACAAAATATTAGTGGTGTTTTTCATTTTTTTCGTATGTTATAGACATAAGTCGGTCTAATGTCTAATTCTACGTAATTATTAATATGCTTCTAAAACTTTTTTGTGGTAGCGCTTTCCTAATATACTTAGTTGAAATAAATTATACAATTTTAATTAAATACAATTTATATTAAAGGAGTTAAGGGGAGCAAAAAAAATTGAAACGGTAAATATTACGAATTTTTAATTAAAGTTGTAATATATTTCGAAAAAAATTGTTGCTTCTGTTGATTTTATTTTGTCGTTACATTTCCTGTTGAAATTTTAATATTTTTGAGGTTTTAACTTTAACTTTTATCAGAAAACGACATGATTTTTCAGTTTTTATTTATATACCAAATATCATTGTTCAATATAAGTTTAAAGTAGCATTTAATACAAAAGTTATTGTCATTGAAAGTATTGCGTCCAGTGTTCCTACCACTCCCCTATACCGTTTGGCTCGCATATTGTACGTGCCTAAGGGTGGCCGCACACAGAAAGAGCAAAACTGTTTTAGTCAAAAACGTTTTTGTTTGAAACGAAAACGTTTTTGTTTCCACAAGAAATATTTTGTTTTCAAGAGAAACAAAATGTTTGCATAAATCATACTGCAATCAATTTTATTAAAGATTTGGACAGATAACGACGAAATTACACTAGTTTTCTGGCAGTGGTTCCTCCTAAAGGACGAAAAAACGCAAAATAAAAGACAATTTTGGGTGCATCCTATAAATGAGAAAAAAACTGCTAAAAAAACTCTCCAATCTTTGCTTCAACAATTAAGGGTCTTTTCATTGATAGTTATATAAAGGAGGTCTGGCCTCAATCAGTACAATTAATTTTTTTTGCGTCCACATCCATGATACACACAATATAAACAAGCAAAATATCTCTGTTTCCACATATGCTTCTTGTTGACTACTCGAGCGGTTTCAAGAAGGGAATTCCAAAAACACGTTGCGCCTGCGTACAATGAAATGTTTCGACACAAAACGACGATCTGTAATCAACATCAAACAGACTCACTGAAACTAAATGAGCCTAAACTTGCTTTAGACACACGACTAATCAGTGTGCGTCAGCGCATTTAATTTATATGGAAACATCAGCATCAGACTCGTTTAGTCAAAAACGATTTTGACTAAAACAGTTTTGCTCTTTCTGTGTGCGGCCACCCTAATAGTCCAAGCAGTATCTGTTTTGAGTTGAGTGTGAAGCATTATACACAGGCATACATTTTTTTTTCGTGAAAAATGTTTTTAAGTTTAATAAGTATCTTATAGTAAATGTGATGTACTGATCACGAATCTATCCTTAGTTTTTTACAAACACGTCAGGTTTTCAAGAAAAGTGTGTCTGAAATTTTTCATATCAACTGACAAAAAAACTGAGAAAACATTTATTGAAAATTTATTTGATAGATAATTTTTCGACTGTTCTAACAACCATTCAAATTTCGTCATTTTGTGTCATGTTCATTGTCATGAACAATTTCACCCAATCATGTTAACATTAGACTGATAATTGCATTCAGTGCAATTTTCAATCCCTATGACAACACGATCGAGTTTGACAACTTCATCCAAAAAAATTTCAAAATGTCACGTTTCGGCAATGAGAATGTTTCAAAGTAATTGTACTTTTACTAACTGTACTTTTTAATAAATAAATGTTTCGTATTGTTGAGTTATGATTTTTTTTTCGAAAAATTATCCGCCGAATATCCCTCGGTGAATGCCTCATAAATTTTATGACAAATTTCTCAAGCTCGTTGCTTGGTAACAGCACTCAGCCTTCGGCTTCGTACTGTTACCAAGGAACGAGCTTTCGATTGTCATGAAATTATCTCGTCTGTTATCAATGTCCTAGGGATATTACTACTGACAATTACACTAAAAAATTGAGTTTTTCTTAAAAAAAGAATATAATACAAAGAAAACCAGGTTCCTGTAGCTGGCTGTATACCATATATCACGAAAAATTTATTAAAATCCGTTATAAAAGGTATATAATAGTTAAAAAACCCAATCGGCCTATATCATAAAGACAAAACGTTTTTGGAATCCATATTCCTCATCAGTGTCTAGGTATACTTGTTTTGAGCCACTAAATATCTGGGTATAAACCCGTTAAAAGTTATAGGTTAAATTTTAGTTTACATTAATTGATCTTATATATTAAGAAGTTAAAGTTATCAGTGGGTTTGATAACATGGCAATGTAGGTGCCAGTCCTAAGACGAAGCGTATACGAGGACTTGATGATAGCAACATTACTATGATTTTTGCAAGATTATTGCAAGATTTTTGTTATGATTACTACTTATTCACTATATCAAAATAGGTAAAATTTATCCAGTGTAATCAATCATTCTAGTTTTTCGATATCTACCGTAAAAATTGCTTCATTTTAAAATTATATTGATAAATTTTAATTATTTCTGAAGTAATGTGAAAATGTAAAAATTATTTATCAAGTATTTACCCCGATTCCTATGAATGTGTTCAGGTCCTTAAGTTGTCCTCCCGTGGTAAGATTCATAGGTAATCCCTCGAGCACTTTCAACCTTCGATCCACCTTATCCAATTCCAGGAGCCATATCGCTGGTACTACACTTCCTAAATAGAGAAACACAGATGGGCAAAACCTAAAAAAAAAAATATAAGAAATAGTTTGTCGTTTATTGTACATTTATGGTTTTTTACAGTTCAGCTTTTTCAAGGTAACATATTATATCTCCTAAAAATTAATTACTATAAACTCTAAATTTTCTTTTTATTTATATGCAGTATTTTATCTTTTTAACTCAGCCTCAGGTAAGTGCTATGTGAATTGAGTAGCTCAGTAAATGCCGGTGCCGGTCCTAAGCCCGGATAAAGGAGGAGGGTTAAGGCGATGGGCTAGCTACTCATCCCTTCTTAAAAGAAATAAATGCTAAAAATTTTAACCAAAAGCCTCGAAATACAAAGGATGCATCAAAACAAAGGCGACTAATGCAAGGGAAAAGGAAAATGAACATGAAATGAACATCTGTAGTTGTGGTTTTCCTGTAGACTGATTGTGATGACTGCAGACCGATGTTCGGATTGTTTTTGTGCGACACATAATTACTATGTAAACAACTTATTAATATCGAACTTTTTTTGAAAAACCAAGTTCGTGTTTTAACAAAGACGTGTTTTAATTGAATCGGTGAGATGAAAAAGGTACACATTCCAAAAAATGCGAATTTAAACTGAGATAGCCATTTTGTTTCTAAGATCATGTTCCATCTATGGAGTTGAAAAAGGTACACATTACATTACAAAATATTACTTATGCAGAGGTCAAAATATTCCGTGAGTTGAAGAAGGAACACATTCCTGGAATGTGTCCCTTCTTCAACTCGACGCGTGTCACACAGCGCAAATGTAGTGGGAGTCCGCACAGTTATCGTTTGCGCATATCCGGCTTCTACACATAAACGGCCAGTCATTTATCTGTTGTTGTTTAGTTAGTGTGGAGCTGTGTTATAACGTAAACATTAACAGTGAATAGTTATAGTGTGTTATTTGCGATGTCGAGTTCAGACAGTGAAAATGTAGAGCCACGCCGGAAGAAGGGAAAGTTAAATAAAGAATTACATGTCAGAGAGATGGAAAAAATTGCTAGACGCAAGGGTGAAGAGTTTGTTACGTCATCAGGTAAACTAGTTGAAGCTAACAAACTGGCCCTGACTGTCAGTGTAAGAAACAGTGTATGTCTAAGCTATCAGATGAAGACAAAAAACGTATTTTAGAAAAACTTTATGCTGGCCAATCAAAAAATGAACAAGAACCTTTTTAATGGGGTGTATTGAAAGATTCGATGTCAAACGGCACAGACCAACAGTTGATCATTCAAAACAAATCAATGCCTCATTTAAGTATTATGTGATCGTGTCTGGAAATCGTTCAGAAGTATGTCGCAAAGCATTCATAAGTTTGTATGCAATTTCACACAAAATAGTTATCAGACTCACAAATCTCTTGGCGAAGGGAATGTCTCCTCTTGACATGAGAGGCAAGCATTTAAATCGTGTTAATACTATTCCAACCACTATAACTACCAAAATACATGAACATATCGATTCATATCCTAAATATTTAACCCATTACACTAAGCAACCTATAACCTATTTGGATGCTAAGCTAGATGTACTGAAAATGTATGATATGTTTCTTCAAAAACACCCTGACCTTGGAACAAAAGTCAAGTACGAGTTTTTTCTAAAATACTTTAAAGAAAATTTTGGATATAGATTTGGGAAGCCTCGACGTATGTTCAACTTGCGAAGACCTTCAAACTAAACTAAAATCCACTACATTGAATGATAACGCTAAACGTACCGCTGCTGCAGAGCTAATAGTGCATAAGAGAAGTGCAAAAAAATTTTTACACTAAGCTCAATGAAGTGAAAGAGTTGAGTAAAACTAGACCTAATGTAATGGGGATAGTTTTTGACTACATGCAAAACTTACCGCTACCCAGTTTGCCCGTACAAGAAATGTTTTTTCTGAGAAAGTTATGGTACTATGTATTTAATGTTTATGATTTTAAAAAACGATAGGGCAGTATTCTACACATACCCCAAGGTGTTGCAAACAAAGGACCAGATGAAGTCACCTCTTTTGTATTAGATTTTCTTCAAAATGAAATCCCTGCAGAGATTACGGAACTCCACATTTTCAGTGACGCATGTGGCGGCCAAAACCGCAACCACACTATGGTGAGGGTACTTTCAGCCCTCACTATGACCGGTAGATTTACATCAATCCATCAATATTACCCGTAAGAGGGCATAGCTTTTTGCCATGCGATAGAACCTTTGCAGTTATTAAAGAGCAGTACGAAAAATATGATCGCATTTATTCTCCAGACCAATACAAGGCCATCATAGAAAACGCCAAAAAGATTCAACCAACTTACAAAGTAAAAGAAGTTAAAAATGAAGATGTACTAGCCTGTAAGAAGTGTGGCCTCTTTACTTTGTTAATTACCAAAAAGCCCTGAAGATAAAAGAATATCTTTTGCCATAAGCAAATATAGTTATCTGATTCACAGAAGTGACCGGAAAGGATACGTGGTAGCGTCATCGTTCATTGGTGGTTTTCTCTCACACACCTTTAAACTTACAAAATCCAATGATGTAGTGCTTCCTTCAAGCAAAGCTTACGATTATGGAAAGGTACCTATTAAGGCAAGCAAGATCAATGACGTCATGAAACTCATCAAATACATTCCAGAGGAATACTTGCCCTTTTATGATGAACGTCGTACTTGGCCAACGACAGAAGCTGAGACCCTGATGAAAATGATAAAAAATTAACTTTCCATTATTGTGCTGTAAACTTTTTTTATAAATCATGTATGTATTTTAATATTACATTGCTATATTTCAAATTATTTTGTTTCATGTTGCCTTAAAATCTCATTGCAAGATATTGAGTTTAAAAAGGGACACATTCCATTATCTAAAATGCTAATAACTCAGACATAGTATTAAAAAAACAAAATAACCATAACAGTTGAATGTCTTCCATTTACTTGTGAAACTTCATAATGGAACCATTTTCTGTAACATATTTAGTTTTGCAGATAAACAGTTTTTTTTAGTTCCTGAAAAATAGCCATTTTGGAATGTGTACCTTTTTCAACTCACCGATTCAATTGCTCTTACCATTACTTCTTTATATCAAATGTCACATCTTCATGTCTTTATATCATAAAGGTATAATAGGTTGGCAGAAAGTTTTTCAAATTATTGCCTGGGAGTTAAGTTAATTTTGGTCACAATATTTTGTATGCCAGCATATTTTTCCTTTTAAGTTCCGAACTCTCTGCATTTTATTTTTGCATCGAATCCAAAAAGATTAAAATGAATCATTGCTTGTTTGTTTCTTATGATGTTGTATTTACGTCATACCGTATTCATATCGCTAATTCGTAGTAGCTGAATAGAAATATACATAAACGTAGCATTCTCCTCTGCCATTCATAAGTTGAAATAAAAGCAACACGTGCGCCTGAATATTGCTTGTTTATTTCCTTTCTATTTTCAGATTTTCCGATTTTTGGTTCCTTACGGCTGATCCCAAAATAAATGGAAGTGGGTAACAATGGGTTGACGTAATTTGGGATCTTGTCTTACTGCAGTCGATATTTTGCATAAAAAGTATATCACGCGATTCCTTCACAACGAACTGTCAAAAATAAAGTGTGTCGACAAATTTGATAATAATAAAAATAATAATGTATTGAAAAATGAAAAAAATACTAATACATTTTTGGTTTTATTTTTCATCTGTTTAACCTTACTTATACTGCCGTCGTAAGAGAGAGTACCGTATCTGCAAAATCTTAGTTTTGAGAAAACAGTAAAAACGTGTTTTTTTCTATATTGCCCTAGTTTATGTTCTAACGACTTTTAAAATATGCTATATCTAGAAATTTTGGGATAAAAAAACTGTTGGAAATAATTTTTAAACTGTAATTTTTTTCCTAATGGTTTAAAATGCACTTAAGGCGTTTAAAGTTACCATAGAATACTTTTTAAATTTGCTAAATTTAAAGAAAAAAACGTAACTGCAAAAAAACAATACTTACGGTATTTAAAGCTAAAATAAACTATGTATTAAGAAACTATTTTTGGTTTAGAAACGTTGGTTATATGTAAATCTTATCATTAAAATAAAATAGATTAGGCAATTTGGTTTTAAACAAAATATATTAAATTATGAAATACTTAACTTCTACATTCTTTTAAATTAATATAACATACAGTATACAGTTTGATTAAAACATCTTTATTCAAAAATTTGAATTAAATCATTGGACGTATCTGAAACTGGAATATTTTCCCAAAACTTGAGGCGGTCTTTTGGCATGACAGATGATAAATTTTTTAAAATATTATCACGCTTTGAAGTGGGTATTCCCCGATTTGTTGTATATTTTTCAGGCTCCAACATTTGATGCTTATTTTTGGCCAATGACATTTTCAAAAAATTTAACTGCCTAAGTTCGTCATCCAAAAAACTATCTCTGTATTCTAAATGAAGAAAGCCACGGTTTGCAACAACTTCCACAAGATCTGCTATATATACTCTGGGTTTTAATCTATTTAAAACTGTCTTTGAAGAATGGTCTTTCCAATTGTAAAAATCTGAATATGCCATAGATTTTGTTATGACTTTTCCGGAGTTGGCTTTTGAAACTGCAGATTCAAAGTCTCGAAAGTCATAGGTTTTTTTTTGTTTTTTTAAAGCGTTTTCAACCTGATGGTGGAAATTGTCAGCAGACATGAAAGTGTGGCCAGGTTCAAAGTATTTTAATGTTATTTTTTCGGTACTAACATGATCAGAATTTATTAAATAAACAAGAAATGAAAATAAAGCCCAGTTCTTGTTTTGGCCAGAGCAATTGTCGAGCCAAAGTACAATGTGCTTTTGATCGCGATGGTAAAGGAAAAACTGAAAATAGGTACTAATTATCTCTTCCTTTTTACGTCCTGCGGTAGCTTCGTGCCATATAACTGCAAAAGGTTTTCCTTTAGAGTTTGTTCCTATGGGTACAAAACTTTCGTTAAAAGCTATAATACGTTGTGTAAAGAGAACACTTTTGAACATCTC